AAATACACTTCTGTTAAGTTGGCCTGTTCACACGCACGGTTCTTCACGTGAAGCTATTGATTCGGAATATCATACATTCACTGGTAAACTTAGCCGATACAGTAAAAATTATAGAAATTTTTGTAATTCAAAGAAATTTTAACATTTTGAACTTTTCCAAAGATTTTTTTTTTGAAAATTTTATTGGATTCTGAAAATTTCTAAATTTACAGATAAATTGCATGTTGGTGTTGCAACAGATATGTGCCTTGTTGTTGCCAAAGATATTGTTAATTTCCCAGTTTCGGCCATTCGTCTTGTTGGAACGATTGATGTGTATTGGATTGTACAAGATGGCGGTTTATGTATACTTATCGCTTACTTATTAATTCAAAGCAAAGTATAGTTGTTTTAAATAAATTTACGTTTGCATTGTTAAAAAGTTATTTATTAAATGAGGCAAAAATTTATGTACTATTGGTTACTGTGATTGGTAATTTTAGAACTTTTTCCAACAAATTTGGTAATGAATATGAAGATATGATAATTTAAAAAATTAGGATCAAACGGTAATTTCTATTAAAAGGTGTGGCGAGGATGCAAACTTCGAGTGATAGCAATTGCGCAAGAAATGGATAATAATACAAAGCTGCAAGCAGATCTTCAAAAATATGTTTATCAGCTAAGGATTGATGCCAGAATAATGGTAAGTCAGGCATATTTCAATTTGAATTTTTTTTGGGTTTATTTTATAATATTTTATTTAGAATGTGAGATATGAAAAAATTTGACATGGAGTTTTAAATTTTAGTTTTTTGATAAAATTTTAACTTTTGATTAAATGAGCTTGACAAATTCTGTTTAATTTTTATTTAATCATTTGGCAAATATTTCTGAATTTCAGCTAATGATTTTAAGGATGAGAATAGAGAGTTTTAATTAACGGAGAAATTCTAGAATTTCGGACTTCGCTTTGAAAATTTTGAATTTCAAAACATTTTAACATTGAAAAAGTCGATTTCCACTAACCTCCATTTTCGTTTTACAATGATTTTATGATATATTGTCAGGTCATAGAACTGTCAGATCCCAAAATTTCAAAGAACGCTTTCGAAAGAACACTTCTTATGGAGGAAAGAACTCGATATATGAATGAAATGTGTGAAATTAAAAGAAAATTAAACAAAGTATCGGTAAGGAACATTATCTCCTATCAATAAAAATTTAGAAATAAAACTTAATTTTAATAAAAATTTGAAACATTCAGCCTTTGGTCTTGGCAGAAATGAAGCAAAATGGTAAGCTGAATAGTGATGATAACGATACAGACAGTGAGACAAGGGGGAAAAATGATGACAAAAGTGGTGATAATGATAATGAGGAAACGCCGACACCGTCGAAAGAAAAAGTATCAGCGATGAAAAAAGCAGTATCATCTTTGGAAAAAATGCCATCAAATCATGATGAAAAGTAACTTCCCATATTTTTGTTTCTAACTAAGCTTTTTTTTTAATTATTAAATTTCATTCAAATTTTAGTTCCCGATTTCTCAGTTATTTACCAGTTTTCACAGTTCTTCTGTCACAACAGCAATTGTAATGGGCTGGAGTGTTCAATGAGTCATCTACAGTTTATTTTTATATAAATCCCTCTGCAACAGGCGAGTGACAATAGCAGAATCGAAGAATGAAATTGTGGAAGAGAATGAGAGCGGTGGTCGCGATAAAAAATTTAGGATGCTCGATAAAAAAAAGGTATATACTAAGCTAAATTAACAAATTGCTCTTTTTAATGTATCTATCAAATTTATGATTAAAATACTATTAAAGTAAATTCTAACTTGCAAATTTTATTAATGAATTATCCACTGAATAAGCTCAAATTTTCTATTGTTTATTATCAAAATGCTGCAGCTTAGCTACTGTAGAATTTTGCAAATCCATCTAAAGTGAACGCTTATTATTTCAGAGTAAAATTAAAGTTTAGTTAATTTCTTAGAAAATTCCAGGTGCGCAAAATGCACACAGCAGTTCGACTGAATGAATTGATTCTTGCAAATTCTGCTGATAGTCAACTAGTGCTGCTCAATTTACCAAAACCTCCTGTTGCTAAAGAAGGTTTGTAACCAACCATAGCAAAGTAAAATAGGCTTACATGAAGGTAGGACCTTCCATCATTTCATAAAGTGTATTTGGAAATAACTTACTTAAAGGTTTTATTAGTTAAAGCTTAGTTAAACTAAATATTTTATTTGCTTCACGTTTATTTTAAAAATATTTCAGGCCTTGATGATTACATGCATTACCTTGAAGTATTGTCTGATAAAATTCCTCGTATTTTATTTATACGAGGAACAGGCAAAGAAGTTATTACGACATATTCTTGATTCTTTTAGTTTTTTTTTCTTTTTGTTACTATACATTTATTTAAAACAAAAAAAAAAATTATCTGACCTTCCTTTCCTCTCGAAAGGTATAAAACTCGAATAATAAGATTCTAAAGATATACATGGATTCTAAAATTCCAACAACGACAGGAATGAAGCTTTTGAAACTCGCTGTGAAGAAATGTCGACTTTACTGTACATAAGCTTTTTATTTTGTATGCAATATTCTTGATATCTTGTATAATTGCTAATTAGCAGATACTAATCCGAAAATGTGTCTAACATTCAATCTTGCATATTTTAATTAAAAAAGATTGTAATCGTCTTGTAACAATTAATTGAAAAACCTTTGTAATTTGATGATTACGAAATACGGTTTTACGAACTTCCAAGCCTCCAGAAATTTTTGAATTCAAATTCTATGAATTCGGAATAGAAAAAATACAGATATTTGAGCAAAAAAAAGATCCCGTGATCAAGTCTGAATATTATCAGCTTTTGAAAAGAGTAACAAAACCTGCTAGTGTTATGACATCAAATGTGAATGAACTGCAAGAGAAAAAAAGAGAATTAAATTGTTGAAGTTAGCAATTAATCTGCATAGGGAGTTCCCAAAAGTCAAAAGCCGCTCAGCAATTATCGCTCACTTGGCAATGCCTTCGAGATTATTGAAGAAACACACAGGAAAACTCGAGACTTTTAATTTCAGTCGGCAACGCTGTTGTTGCCAATGTTTCATCCTCATGTTTGTAAATACACTTTTTGCCGCAGCGAATTACGTTCCTTAAACCTATAACAGTTTCACCCCATGGTATATTTCAATCAAGTCATTCTTCACGATTATTAATGCTATTACTTCCAGTTTTATTAGCTGAATCAAGAAAAGCAACACCTTGAAGTTACTGCTATTTTGGAATTCAGTTTTGTAAAGAGCTTTTTTTCAGGAATGTACATATAGCTTCCTTTCACTGCAAGCTTAAAGTCCTCAATGAAAATATATTAAGTGCTAACCAGTGTTGAATAAGAATATATTTATTTTAAGTGTTATTCTCAAAACAATAACAGAAGGAATATTCAAAGTTTATCGCTACTAGTCGAAGATGATAAGAGAATTTCATGATTAATAACAGCGTCTTGAACTGCAGTACCATTTGATTGACTTTTTTCCTGTGTTGTACCTGCAAATTTTTGAATTAATTACGATTCCTGCCGAAAAATCCTTGCCACATAATAATTTGTTTACGAACTTTACCGAAGTGTTGACTTTACAGTACAATTTCAATTTATGTAAGTTCAGAATCCATTAATTGAAGTGAAATCTAAAAATCAGCTGAGATACCAAAGGCAATAATTAATTATGTAAAATTTATGGGATACAGGGAGATGTGAGAATGAAATACTTACGTGCACCTTTCATTCTGGAAACTTGTTCAATAACCCTGAAACTGACAATCCATTAATAATGGATTTTCAGAATTGAAAGTCGCCTACATAGGTACTTGAAGATAACTTTTGTTCAACAATTGCAGCGTAAGCTAAAACAATAAAAAATATTTTAAGTGTTGAACCTTAAATCACGGATATTAAATCATTTCACAGCAAGCATACACGTGCCGAAAGTGACGAAGCCGACTGGTAGAAGAGAAAATTTAAAATAAACTCATGTCTTCGGCGAAAACGATAAAATCAAAAATAGTCAACAGTGAAACAAACCTTATTTGATAGTGATGAATTGGTGCTGCAGCAAATGGATCATTTTCATCAATTTCTAAATTTGCATCATTTTTCACCGTTTTACCTTTAAGAAAATAATATTTGGCTGAAAGGAACAGATGCACAACCTAATCTGAACAATAAACGCGAAACTACATTAAACTTAAAAGATTATTCAACGGTTCGCGACTACTGAGTAAGTAAATCAACCAGAAAGCAAAAGAAGTCAAAATTACTTGATGCGAACTGTTTTAAATGCCTCGGCAATTTATCAAAACAATGTCCAAAACTACGATCATCCATTGTAGTATTCCGTAAAGCAGCTGGATTGCGTCTATGTGAGCTGAACGGCGCAATTAAGAATGGATTCCATGACTTGTCATCATTCTGAAAATACATGTTAATTTAATTTGTTTTTTTTGAAAATACTTGAAAAGTTAGAACCGAATGCCGCAAAAACATTGCACTAAACAGACCTCCATTGGTAAATTTACAGAAGAAACGGTGACAGACACTGTCTCGAAGAGTTCACTTGTAAATCGTGAAGACATAACTTTAGTATTGCTCTCGCTCGAAGCGCTGTATGGTCTAAAAAATGTAAATTCAAGACGTTTCAATAATAGGCAGACTCATGATAAAGAAGATGTCAAACATTGCTTCGCCTGGTATCGAAACAACTGAAATGGATATGGTATACGTCAGTACACTGCTAGAATTCGTGATGCTAATTATCAAGCCATCCTACTTGATTCAACAACTGAAAAGTCTGCTAGTAATACGCAGACCTGACATGCAAACATGGAAATAACCTGAATGCACTTGATTTTAGAGTTTCATTACCACATTCTTCTGCAACACCACATGATTTCTGCGAAGATCCTTAACAAATAAACAGTCTTGAAATAGCAGGTAGATTCTTCAATTTATAATTCAATAGATTACTACATATTTCATGTATCGCTTTTTACAAATGGGTCCCTTTTGCACATAAAAAAGCGAAGAATTACGAAATTGAGAATGACAAGCTGAAGATCAAATCAAAACCTACCATAAAAGAGGTGAAAATCAAGATGAAAGGATTAATTTGGAAAACTATTCCGCATCTAAATCGACCATATTCATGTTATTTATAATAACCAATAAAATTTGGATACCTGCATGTGCAACATCGATTTCTGGATGAGATGAACTGCTTTGCTGTTTACTGATTGGAGCCTGCACAAAAAGATCAGTGATGTCGTAAGAATTTAATAATTGAATTAAAACATCAGTGCAGTGAAATTATAAAAATTAAGTGAGAATTTTCTATTTACATCTAATAAACGTGAACTGGAATCGGCCAAATTCAAGCGAACTGCATTGCTATATGGCTTTGGTCTCAATCTTGGATTGATAGAAGTAACTGTTTCCTTCTGTGCAACACGGCTATCAAAATTAGTAAATGTCGATATGCGTGCTGACGTACCCGCAACTGCTGTTGTATTGACTTCCTGTTGGCGCAAATTTCTCATGGCATCAATTAGACACAATGCTGGAACTTTCTGAAAAATGAATCTCAATATGGAGAAAACTGGTGCTATTAAACGACTCTATTTAAACTTAGTATTTTCAATATTTTCACCAATTTTTCGCAGTATAAAAAAGTACGTGTCTTAACCAATATTTGAACTTTGCGTCACCTACAGAAAATATGTGCATCATCTATATTACTTTCCCGACTGGTAATTCTACCTACCAGCTATAGAAATTAGCTTCCTAAATGAAGGCAAGACTTCTTTATATAATTAAAACAAGAACTGGCATTAAATTCATAGCTATTATATTAAATTAACATACATTTAAATTACCAATCGGAGAGCGCTGTCCGGCAGCCTTAAAAGCAAGAGTTGAAACTTGATAGATATCTGGACGGCGAACAAGATCTGGGTCAAAAAGTACCTCTAAAACTACAACGAATAAATTAATTGTCTATATATCAAAGAAAATGTATATAATTAATTGCCTTAATTTCTCAATAGTCCACTGTTAAAGATGGAGTACATTGTTACGGTTTTTCCAACAACGAAATGTTTCACAATTGAAAGTTTCATATCAGCACTTCAGGATTCATTACAGAAGGGAATAGCATATTCCAATTAAGCTCAAAACTTTAATCGTATTGAAATTAAAACTTATTTATGATGGCTCGTAGCTCCTCCGGATAACTGGGCTCAGTGGGAAAATTATAAGAACAATTTTGAATTGCAAGCGAGCTCTCGCCAAACGGAAGACTGAAATAACAGAGCCTGTACAGCATGACACCAAGAGCCCATATATCAACCTTTGTACCTAAAATTCAAGAAATAATAGTTTTCTGAGAAAGAATGAAACATTACTCATTACTCATGATCACATGTTATCACAATCAGATAAAACGAACCAATGGGCTTTCCCGAGTAAATATCTACCATTTCAGGAGCTCGATATGCTAGTGTCGTATAGCGATGAATCTCTTCTTCAATAAATTGCAGTGACTGTGTGTCCGACGATAAAACCTTCAGAAGAGAACAAAGTGAGCAGCTTTTCTTTACATTGTGTTATAAAGATTTAATCCTTAAAATGCTAAAGCAAAATGCTACGTCATTAATAACTAAAAATCTAATCAGAGTATCTACTACACTATAAAATGCATTAAGTTCTTTGATATAGAACATTTATTTTTTAAATGAAAGTCGGACGACTCAATTATTTTAATAACGAGGAGGGAAATGGATAAATAGTAAACACTGCAAAAAGTAACCTTTGTTGTAGCGCTTCCGAAGTCGCATAAAACATACACTGGTGAACCAGGACGATGTTCATCAATCAGAACATTTTCAGCCTTTAATTTTGCAGTAAAAAAACCAAACAAAACTTGTAATTTTCTATTCCCCTATTTTTTTGTACAGGACAAACCTGCGATAATTAAAGGCGTACCTTTAAATCACGGTGAATCACTGGAGTTTGAGAATGATGCAATCGTGCAACTGCTTCACATACATCACAAAAAATTTTCAAAATTTCATTTGCTGAGAGACATCGTCCCGCTAAATGCCGTTCATTCATCAGCTGCAACACGCTACCTGAAAAAGTAATAGTTTATTTATAAGCTAACACTTCACGTTTTATGATAAATAAATTGTGTAAAACGACAAATTTTTGAGAAGTGTTGAACGAATCTATCTAAATAACAGTATACTATTAAAATACTTTTGAAGAAAATAGACAAACTTTTATAATAAGTAGTAAGAAGTGAACACTCGTATACACCGCAATTATTTTTCAGTATCATATGATCTATATAAGACACAATATTTTTGTGTCCCGCCAAGCAACTCTAAATGCATATATCAAATGCTTTCAAGTTTGAAATACTCGATTAGAATTATTTCAAAAAAATATGAAAGTTAGACCTGACCGTTACTTTTATAACAGCAGCAGATAAATAACTGCAAAAATACAGCACGAAAGAAATACCTTAAGTCATCAATGTGTTAATTTGAATTGTAAATATCTATGCACAGCTCATTTTGAAGCTTTATTTCATGATTATCTCAAATCCCAGTGATTAACCTTCTTCGACTAATAAACTTGCAGCAAACAGTATTATAAATATAAATCAATGTAAATACTATGACAATAAAAACGCTGCTTTCAGTGCGTTTGAGAGTTAGATAGCTGTTATACATATACGCTCATTTCAGAAGCCAAAATTTCATCAAATGGTAAATGAAAAACTCACAACAATGCGACATTCTCTTCTACATGCTTCCAACTGCCGAATGTCATCACTGATAAACTGCCTTTTAAGCGCATAATGACGCCCCTGCTTATCGCTTGCCAAATATACAATCGCAAATCCACCTGATTGTTAAGAAAGTGGATGTTGAAAATATCCAATAAAGCATTTCACAAAAGAATTTTATACTTTACCTTCAGCAAGTCTTTTGTCTAAAGTCACAGTGTGATTAGGCAATTTTACGACTGATCCCCGCCAGTCTTTTCCATCAGAAGTGCCGGCATTTCCTGCAAAGAAAGAAGCCGATATCAAAATGTTTTACGAGTAGTAAGAAAGATTGAAAACATATTTAATGAATTTAATATAAATGAAGTATTTTGCAGTTTCTATAAATGAAATAATGAAGGAAGGAATTACTCCAAAGACAATATACTGCGATTGAAATATTAGATGGCGTGAGGTACTGCAAGCAGTAAAAAGTGGAACTCTTATTACTACATGAAACCATAATGACATTTCATTTTTCTCGTACCAACTGAAAACTACTATATTCGAAAACTTGCCAACCCCTACATGAATTTTACCTGGCTATTACTGCTACCACAAAGTTTTTGGTTTAAGTGCACCATCCACTGCTGCTTATTTTCGACTCAAACCGACTTCTGGATCTAAAGGATGTAAAAAAGAGAAAGAAAAGGAGTGACACGAAGTACTTAAAAACATAAAGCGTGAACCTCGGGAAGAGTTGTCGAGCTGTTGTGACTTCACACCTCCAGCACCTATTCCGAATAAATTCAATGGCATTTTCAGCCCTTAGTAGAATAACGTTATCATCAAGAATTGATAGAGCCCTTTTTTAATCCATTCCTTCGATAACAATAAAAAGCAGATGCATTAGATACACCAAGTTAAGAATGAAATCATATAAAATTTATAAAATTAAGCATTACAAAGTACGTGACTTTCGCAACTTAAACTTATTCAGTACCAAACATTCCAATCAAATACTGCCACTTCACCTACCATACAAGTAAAAAGCACCAGTTTCATAAACTCTTTAATATTTCATTAATTACATTATTCCGTAAACTTCTGCTACCCGACCAGTAATTTTCTTTCGACATGGAAACAGTTTCACGATGTTCAGAATTATTCAAACTGTGTATCATTAACTCTTTACCTGCAAACCGTTTCGGCGCAAACCGACAATTTGAGCATCTTTCGCTCCCATGCACGAACATCCTGCCAATTAGTAAATTTCACGTAAAAATCAACAATGTCTCGATTGCTATTAAAATCTCTCAACTTAGTACTGAACAGTTGTTTTCGTGTTGAGACCGGGTTGTTTAAATCATGAGAATTAATTGATTAAGATTTCGTTTCAGATAGAATATTTCGAGAAATATTGATGAAGAAAAGGTATTCCCGATATATTTCTCAACCAATGCTAATGGTGCTTATTTCTGGAATATTTTATTACATTCCAAGATGTTCAGTAGTGATAGGCTGTGTATGGTTGTCGTTGTCGGCGATATCTGCAGCAAATAATTATCTTAAATTGAAATTGTAACGATGCTGGAAAAATTCCGAGTGATGAGCATATGCTAATATAAAGTCATTTAATATATTGTTTTATTTGATCAAAGTTTTGCATATTCTAAAGCTACAATCAATAACTATTATTTTCTCCCATATTTGATATGTATATTTTTTATGGAGGAACAATTAACTGGGAATTTCGAGGAAATTGTACTGTACATTCGTTGGTAAATATGTGTGTATGTCGTATTTGAATGCAGTTAGGTGACCAATTTAGAGGTGATTAATTGTAGGATGTGTGTCTCGAGGAGTGATAGAGAATGGTGAGAGTAATGAAATTGATGACAAGAATTTGTTGAAATTTGAAAATCAGTGGGGAAAGGGACATGCAAGAATGATGAAGGTGACGAATGACAAGGAAACAGATATGATGTTGGTATGGTTCGTTCGGAAGAACACCGAGCGATATGGACGGAAGGCTCCGAAGTGCTGAGATAGAAGTAATTCAAACCAATAAAGCAAACAGATTTAAAGTGGTGACTTGATAGCTGTCCTCTTTGGTCAACTCACCTGCGGTCACTATTGTACAGTTTAACATATATACACAAACACACATCGAACTATGTAATCATTTCCCCACATTGCTTATTTGCTGATTTCCCATCTCCTCTGTTATACTCTGTCACGTTTGCTCAGGCTGAAAATTTTGACACTTCCGCATTACTCTTTGGGTAAGCATCTTCTTACTTAAATTTAAATTGAATGTTAAGTTTTTTTGGTTTTATTAACAATCTGGGTATTTTAATTAATATCTCCTTTCGTTTGATTCGGGAAGAATTAATAGGAACACAAATTTTAAGCTTTATACTATATAAGTTTACCGTGTCTTTGTTATCCGCACATAACTGTCTTAAACATATGGCTCAAAAAGCGGAACCTCTGGAAGCTTAATCTTTTTTTATATTTAAGTTAACTGCGGAAACTATCAGTGGCCGCTTCAAATAATAAATTTTAGACACTTATTATAAAGCTTGCAGAAAGAAATTATTTTATTATAGATAACTTTTTGCTGAGGTAATTTACCGCGGAGTGAACAGGAAAAACTTCATATGGAACATACTACTATTGCGCAAGTCTTTTTCTTATTTGATTAAAATCTCAAATATGCTGAATCATTGAGTGCTTCATCACTTTTTGGGTTTCTATTATTTTAAAATTAGAGTGACTGACATTCTTTCAGTTTACCACGTTGAAACATATATAATGGAGGTTAGTAAAGGTGTACAATTACTGTCGCTGATCATATAATAAACGTTTAGTGATAATCATTATATTGATAAAATTGTTCTTCGTTCGAGGATCTTATTAGTTAACCGTATTAGCTATCGCGTAATCTAAAACCTTCTTAAAAAATCCATGATATTAGTTAATCAAGCCAGTTTGGCCAGTCCCACTTTATTCTTCAGCATGAATATAAGATTATGAAATTAATGCATCTTTTTTTCACCAGAAAATGAATTCTGATTTAAAAAAATGCATTAAGTAAGTTGTGCTCGGAATTCCTTTTCAGATTGGTTTCAACAGCAGCAAGTGAAATTAAAAAAAATCTAAGCGGTTTAATCTATCATGAAAAAACTAGTAAGTTTAATGCGAAACTTTAAAAGGTTTTCTCCGATGGGGTGAATTATGCATGCGGCGAAGTTTGATCTGGTAGATTTCATTTCAACAACAGCGAGTAAATCATATGATGGACTTTTGCTAATTTAAAAAAGAATGAAAACTATGAAAAAATTTTCATTTTAGATAATGGTGATTATTTATGTTATTACAAAAATTTGGCCAGCGATAATCCAATCACATATTTGTGTAATACTGAATGCTGCACAAACGGCTGCTGCGCACTTCAGGAAATTAAAATGTTTGTTATATGTATTTAAATGAGGTGTTCGGGAAAAATCTTTCAGAATCATGGCAATCATTATAAATAACTTTCATCATCTATGCCAATACAAAATTAGTAAGTTTAGTCTTGTATTGGCATAAATGATGAAATAAACAGATTCATTTTAGAATGTCAAGTTTAAGATGATATTTTAAAGCGCTATCACCCATCCTAGGACAAACGCAAGATTCTATCTTGGAAACTGGAGTGCTAAATACAAGTTCTAGAAATGCTTCCACCAAATTCCTTTTTTAATTGTTTATAAATTGAACTATGAGGTCTCAGAATCATTCCAGGAGTGGAGGTTATAACTTGATGGTTGTACTTTTGTTAATATTCGTTTTTGCGATACTATTCACAGCGGCCGCCATGCTTATCATTTATTACATTTACAATCGTAAAAGCACCGAACGTGGCTATGAATTCAGCGGAAGTTTTACGGAAGATAGTGTTGTTGGATCACAAGTAATGTGCCGTTTTTAGATTTTGTATTGTTAGGAATGCACTTCCATTGTTTTTCAGAACCATTACTCACTTTCTTTTTGAAATCATCGATAGTTTCCGGATTTTGAAGACTTCATGGACAAATAATATCTCTTTAATGCAGAAGATGATTCACTATAAGTAGATCAAGAGAAAAATACCGCTCCTAGAACGGAAAGGATGACACAAACCTTAAAATTATTTTTCAATATTTCTGTTATTTAAATTTAGACGAATGTGTCATTTTAGGTCAGTGGACCTCCAATGTACTTTGGTGAACGTCGATATCTCCCTCATATCAATCCTGTAAAGTCATACTGATGTATAGCAAATATTTTTGGAATCTTTACTAATGTTGTTTATATGTTAAATGAAGTGATTATCTGACATGGATACGCAGTCTCTGTTAATTTATTAATGCATATATTAGTCACCATTTGAAACTATTCGCGACAGTAAATCCTGTTACCGCAGGCATTATTTTTAAACCGTTTGACTGAGAATAAAATTTGTACAATAATACCTTGTGTCACTAAAATTTGGATGGAATTTCTCCAGATTTTTGATGATGGTTTGTTTAAACGTCAAAATCTACCAACCATCCATTTCAGTAATTGTCATCTGCTAGATTTAATTAGTTTGTCTTTTAATTCTGCGCTTCTTAAAAAAAAACTCGAAATACTACACCACATAAAGTATCAGCAGCCTGGAAAATGATTCAAGGAAGTCATTACCAAAATTTCGCTATAGGGAGTTCAAAACTGGCACTTTCGAGGCGTCTATCGGTTGCTATGGTTATAACATAAAGCTTCGAAAAATATGACTAACTCCTTATTTTCCTTCATTTTGCTATTCGATATTTCCAATCTTTTTACTCTTTAGATTTTTGTTTGATTTCATAAGCGTTTTAAGAGCCATGAATTTCTTTATTCTTCAAATTCTCTTAAGATTTTACACCTCCTAAATGGTCTATCAATCTTCAAAATCCTGTGCACATACAATTATAAATTTAACGTCCATTTCACCTATTCTCTCGGAAAATTATTTGCTCAATTGTAATTTTGGTGCTTTCTGAACTGCTCTTTTTTCTTGATATTTTTACAAATCTTAAGTCATTTTCAACTGTCACTGGTACGTTTTATTCTCTGAAATAACTAGAATGTAGGAATGAATTCTACAGTGATTCTAGTTTAAATTTTTTCCTCTAAATTGACATGTTTCCATTTATGATTTTACACTGGTCGCAGAAGTCCAAAAAACTTGTTAATGTTACGTCAACTTTTCACCGACATCAATAAAATTTGCCATAATGGGTTATCAGTATTTGAAGAATTAGTGAGATGAAGAATGGAGCAGTATCACGAAAGCATGCCACTCGATATAGTGATGCGCTTGATGAAATGCTGGGAATTCCGTCCAAAAAAGAAAATATGATTCAAGAAGGTCAGTGCTTTCAATTTTGATACACTTTTACAATCATAAGTGGGAGATTCATTGTGGATTTTTAGAGCGTTAATTATCTGTATAGGTGATTTGAATGCAAGACTCTCGTTAATATTTCTTTGAGTTTATACAACTTGGCTTTCAGTTTGCAAACTTCAAGACTACCTATTTTAGTTGATCTATCAAAACAAAAGCAACTGGGAGAGAGACCAAGAACAAGACATGGCCGATATGGAGGGGCGGTTACAGCGGTTACAACCAGCGATTCATTTCCGTTATCTTTTCAACTTGGCTTTACGAACGTGCGTCGTCTCTCCAGTCATTTTTTGAGCCAACTAACGAAAAATATTTGCTATTTATCGAATCTTAAAAAATTGCTCCTTTCAAAATTTTAAGACTGTTATTCTTTTCTAAAAGTGAAAGCAATGGTTTAGAAAAGTGACGTAACCGTGCAACTTTGGCAGCGAGAATGTGAGGAGGAGGAAAGAAGTGATGATGAGAAGGAGAAGAAGGAAGAGTCTAACTTCCACAGCAGTGATGTAAATGGAACTGAGAAGAAATCTAGGGAGGATATATTACTTTTTTAAGTTTCGAACTAAAAAAAAATTTGCATGATTACTTGGCCTTAAGAAACTAAATGCATGACCGATTTTAGCTGTTTGTTAAAACAGCCAGACCGAATTGACCAGTTTTTTTTCGAGTCTAATTTAAAGTGTTCATCGTCCCATATACTCACTTAACTGACTTCTCTATTTGAAATGCCTCGATGATTTCAGATATAAAATAGAAACAATTAATGATAACTATGAAAGTGCCGCTGTGACGATTGCACAAAAAATAACATGTTCACCAGTGATTAGCACAGCAGAAAGTGAAAATCATTTTCAACATTCAATCGATACTTCAAATCAAGGACAAGATTCTCATCAATCAATAGAGACAATAAGGCGGAAAGACCAATTTTCTGATGTAGTGTCGAATTCGTCGGTAGTATGTCATCAAAATAATTTAAAGATTTTCAAAATCTTTGTCGAAGACTTACACTAAGAAAGTTTTGAATGATAAAAAAGTTACAAACTCCTGAATATTCAGGCTGCTAAGAAGACCAAAGCAACAGAAAGTCAGGTATCTGAGGGAAACTTATGTGATACATTTCGAATACGATCAATTTATGCAAGGAACCAATCAGATAGGTAAAGACACTGAAATCTAAATAATAGTTCCAGAAATCATTAACCAAATTAAGCCTATGAAACATATATGATACATAGAAAAGAAGTTTCCTAATTTTGCACAAAATTCAGTGAATTAAGGAAACCTGTTGAAAAACACTCGAGAACTACGGCTGTCAGTGAAAGTCCATCTTATGGGAAATCAGCATATGAGGTAAAAATCATTTCCAAATATTTCAAAAAAAAGTAGAAGGACCGAAAAAGATCCGAAATAATTGGTAATATTTAAAGATGCATTCTAGAAGTGGTTTCGAGAAAAATTGAGGCAAGAAAGAGAGAAGCGACGAAAACAGAAAGAGAAAGAAAAGGAGGAAAGAAAGGTACTGTACAATGCTGCTATTAATTCAATTAAATCGGTCTTGGCTTTGTTATATCTTTTATTTTTTTTTTCAAATTTTTGAATGGTTAAATTACAGGTGAGAGAAGAAAGAAGAAAAGAAGTTGAAAGAAATTATGAAATTTGGAAGCAAAGAAGTGATGAAGCGATTCGCGAAAGGAGGAGAAACGAAAAGGAAAAAGAAGAGGCTTTAGCAAGAGAGAAAATTGAAGAAATGAAGAGAAAGAAGGAGGAGGCGACTCAGGTGGGCTCGAGAAAGTGCGGGGTCTTCTTGAAAATATCATTCGTTAAGAGCGGATATGAAGTTGTAAACAAGACGCGCTTTTGGAATTATGCACGAAATTGTTAGAAAACGAAAAGTAACCAAAGCGTTAAAAACAGAAATGAAATTAATCGTGTTGGATAAATTTTTTAAGAAACTTAGATCTCAAAGG